AGTAGCATTTATTTCGTTCGTTTATCACAAAAATTGTAGAAATCACAGCATTTTGAGTAACATGATTACAATTTTTATTACTCTACAATGGCGGGCATTTAAATTAACTGCATCCCGCTGCCACTACTGGGATTTAAATGGCCCGTCCCATAAAGGTTAAGTAGTAACTACACTGTGATATATAAATCCATTGCTAGGCAACACCTGCAATACACGCGGCCAACAATACTGGAGCAGTGTTTTCTTTGTGACGTCACACAACAACAATGGTGGTGATCATGTAACATGTTTTCTATAGATCCCTGCTGAGACTGTTACTAGTGCACCACTGGACTGGCAGCGATCACGTGACATGTATTTCTGTAGGTCAGTGCTGAGGAGCTATCTTGAAGACAGTTGGCACTACAAAGCAGATGGGAAAATTGAACCAGAGCTGAGAGTTTGGATCGGGAGATTTCAGTCGTAGCTGAGAAGTTGCAAGTCATACAGAGAATTCATGATAGAGAGTTCCAGAGGATTGAGAGATGAGGATTGTTGTTCAAGGAAGCTCTGTAGTTGAAGTGTTAACCAGCAATGACTAAGCAAGCGGACGTTGAAGACTTTATTTATGTGTTATAACTACAGTAAGCTTCAGAGTGTTATAAATACTTGCACTTACTACTTGTGAGCATCCAGTAAACTGATTCACCAATCCAAACCCCAATACACTTGACAACTGGTGTCAGAAGTAATTGGACGGGAGTGATCGATTATGGAATTGATGATTTATTTTATAGTGTTATATGACAACAATAGAAAACAAGGAACTCCTGAAGGCCATGAAGGAAACGATGGACCGGACCATCCAAGCAAAAGCAGATGCTGTCAAAGAAGAAATGAAACAAGAAATAAGATCCGGCAAAGAACAGAGGGCTTCCCTTGTCTCCAGGATAGAAGCCAACCAAGCCAAGATGGATGCTGAGATGAAAACGAACCAATAAATGCCAGCCAGGAGGGAAGCCAAGATGGATATAAATCTATAGGAGATGAAAGAAGACATTACATCTGGCCAAGCGGAAATTAAATCCACAGTTGGTGCCATCAAAGAGAAGATGGTAGCCGCAATTCGCTTTCTGAGAGCATGGCGAAAAGAGATGATGGCCTACCAAGAAATGACGGATGCACATCCTAGAGTGCAAGGAGCCCATGTCAGAGGTCATGGAACTGGTGCATCAGGAGGTCCCTAAGGAACAGGCCGCACTGAAACCTGTAAGAGGATTGAGGAAGTGGCATAAGGGCCAAAATTTGGCCACAGAGCGCCACCAGAAGCCAAAAGAATGGACTTGGGTAAATTGTGGATCTTGGAGGAAAGTGGCCACTGCCTGCAGAGGGACAACCCTCTCTGCAAAGTGGCATGGTACAAGGGAAACATTGTCAGGAAAAACCAGACCAGGGACAGCATGGTATGAGAAACCTTGAAAGGACAGATGCTCAAGAGGAGACCACGGTCACGCCAAGAAGGCAGCATGGGAATAAAGGACTAGGCAGCAGACAGCCACTATATTTGAAGAAGGAGAGGAAAACTGAACAGCACCAGAGGGTGGAGCTTAGGACAGCGATCACATCCGGGAAGTGGAAAAACACTCAAAAAGACCTTATATGACGTTTTCAGATTGAAATTCACCGAACAAATGGCTGGGACTTCCACTAGACGGTGGGGTTGGCCCCCTCCAAAACAGAAGAAAAATTTACTAGCAGCATTAGTGTAAGATGGACCAGAAATGAGGGAGGACCAGCTACTCTGGATAGTTTTGCCCCCACCATTGGAGTGAAAAAGACAGATAAAGGTTAATGTTTGTACTGTGATGTATTTGCACTATGCAGGACACCCCCTCTCCCGCCAGCGGAAGTATCAGCTTCAGAGAGCTGCCACTGCTACCGTAACAGGCCAGTCAACACTCCACCCCCTCCCGCAGTGACGTAATAGCACTTCCCACTGTGACGTAACACGGGACACCACTGTTGACACAGGCAACAGGGAATGGTATAAAAAGCCGGCTGAGCAGTATGTGACCAGAGAGTGTGTGATCAGGAGTGACACAGTGCGGATTGTGAAGTCGCCAAGTGCAGCAGAAGTCTAGCAGTCGCCGAGAGCAGTGGATGTAATTATGATGCTACTGATGGCAGTAATTGTAATTGTGAATTGTGTGAGTGTGAGAGCGAGTGTTCAATAAATTTGCTACATCCAAGACAGCGTGAAGTTATTTGTTGCAGTGACATACACCCAACATGTGACAGTACATTAGACTGGCTGGAACCTTCTTAGGGAGCTGCATACCATGAAGAAACTTCCGGAATATGACACTAGATCTACAAGGCTACGCAGGTCAATGCACGCTCAGCAGCTTAGCCCTGAGGCTATTGGGTCAATGCTCGCTCAGTAGCCCCCCACCCCCTGGGATCATGTCGTGACGGTCTCCTTTCATCGCCAACTTAACTTTTGGGAACAACCAGAAATCTGCTGGAGCAAAATATGGCGAATGCGGAGGATGATCGAGGACTGTGATCCCTTTTCTGGTCAAAGAATCGTGCACGATCTTCGATTTGTGGGGTGGGGCATTGTCGTGGAGGAGTGACCAGGAACCTTGCTCTCGATATTCAGGTCGAATTTGAAGAATTCTCGTCCACAAATGATTGAGGACTCTGAGATAATAATCAGAATTTGCTGTTTGACCTTCTGGCAGAAATTCCTTGTGAATGATTCCTTTGGAATCGAAGAAAATGGTTAGCAGTGTCTTTACTCGACTCTTTTGCATGCACACTTTCTTTGGTTTCGGCTTCTTTGGCTCAACCACGCTGCACTCTGCCACTTTGTGAGAGGCTCATATTGAAAACACCATGTCTCGTCACCACTAACAATCGATTTTGTAAATTTTGTATCACTTTGGGCTGACTGTAACATGTCTTTGCAGTGTTCCACTGTGGCATGTTTTTCATCGCCTGACAGAGAGTGCGGTACAAACCGCGCACAGACCTTCCGTTTGCCCAAATCCTCAGTAAAAATTTGATACACAGTACATTTTTGTATTCCCAAAAGCTCCTCGATGAATCTTGCAGAAACACATCTGTCTGATTCAAGGATTTTGGTCACTATTTTCACATTTTCTTCAGAGTGACTTGTTCTCAGATTTGATGCAAATGGAGAGTCTTCAATGTCCTCCCTGCCATCACGAAATACAGCATACAATCGAAAAATGTTCGAGCGACTCAGACAATCGCTACCCTACACACTCTTCATCATTTTGTATGCTTCTGCGGCTGTTTTTCCTAACTTCAAACAAAATTTGATGTTGGCTTTCTGTTCAACTGCCATTTTCCTACAAGTGTCAGAACAGTATTGTTACATTCAAGGTCAGAACACATGAAGGACCAAGGCAGACCATGAGAAGCCTTAGTTATGTTAGCCAGTATCCAGCTGGGGTTCAAACTGGGTCCCATTTGACTTAGATGTTTTACTATTGTGTCAACATCCTGAGTGTTATCCAATTTTTACCAGGCATTGAATCACTTCAGTGGAATGGCATGGTCGTATACTTGTTGGCAGGAGATGTCAAAAGCATTTTATCACACTGTTATGCTCTTTTGATTGTGAGTGTCATTTTTGTGCTGTGTACCAAGTATAGATCAAATAAAAATGTTGGCTTCTGTGTAACTTGTCTGGTTATATAACCATGATAAGAGAACAGTAGATAACAAAATTATGTCAATAATATTGTCACATGTATGAGTGACTGTATATGGGATTTGGACTGGTAATCAGATTTATTGAACTCTTACAGATCCATGACTACAAGTAATTACGAGGAGCGTTCCGTATATAATGCCTCCTATTTTTTAATGAAAACTACAAAGATACAGAAAGCATAATAACGCAGTTAAATAGAGCAAGATTTAAGCTACTTACAGCTATTTTTCCACATAATCACCACCATTCGTTATGCACTTTTGCCAGCGATGCACAAGAGCCTGTATGCCGCGCCCGTAAAAGTCTGTACCAGCAGAGGCTAGCCACTTTCTTACAGCTGCAATGACAGCATCATTGTCTGGAAAATGTTACCCACGTAGTCCATCTTTCATAGGCCCAAACAGATGGAAGTCTGAAGGTGCTAAATAAGGGCTATAAGGTGGATGTGGTAGGACAGTCCACCCAAACTTTGCAATGTGCACGGTGGTCACCAAACTGGTATGAGGTCTAGTGTTATCATGTTGCAAGCGAAAGGTTGTCTGCTTCTCTGGCTTGACTCAGGAAATGTGGGCTTTCAGCTTAGTCAGTGTTGTCTTGTAGCGTTCAGAATTGACAGTCTCACCAGGCTCCAGGAAATCCAACAAAATCACACCCTGCCTATCCCAAAAGACCGTACACATCACTTTCCCTGCCAATGGCTGTGTCTGAACTTCTTTTTTCTTGGGGAATCTGGATGTTGCCACACCATGGACTGTCTTTTGGATTCCGGCTCATAGTGGTGACACCATGTCCCATCTCCGGTGACGATGCTGTCCAGAAATTTGTCACCTGCAGCCTCAAACTGGTGCAGCAGGTCTTGACAGACATCCATTTGATGAGTTTTCTGGTCCTGTGTAAGCATCCACGGGACCCACCTGGAACAAACTTTGCAATAATCCAGCTTCCCCAGCATCACTTCCAATGCATTACAGCCGATATTAAGCCATGCACACAGTTCCCTGGTACGGATGATGCGCTGTTCGTTGTGAGGAGTGGCAGCTGAGCAGGGACGCCCAGGCCATGGCTTGTCGTGCACTTCACTTTAGCCACTGTTGAAACGCACTACCCACTGCCTCACTGTGCTGATATCCACTGTATCACCTCCATACACCTTTAACAAACATCGATGGATGTCAATGGGTGCAATTTGTTCGGCAGTGAGAAATTCAATAACACATCTCTGTTTCGTACGCACTTCTATGTCAGACACAATTTTGGTAGACTGCTCTGCTGTCGCTATCTGTCACACGACAACCAGACTAAGAGTACATTGGCAGGAAGGTTCAACCTTTACTACAACACACCAACATCCTGTTCAGATGTTACATATTAACACAGAAAAATAGGGGCATTATATATGGAACACCCTTCGTATAACCTTAGGGACTGAGAAAAGCCATAAGAAACCTCAGTTAGGGTAGCCAGTGTTTCAGTTCTTCCAGATTCAAGCAGGGAACCTCCTGAATACGTGTCTCGAGCATTACCTCTAGACCAGTCTGCACGCTATTTGGTAAAGCCGGTGTCTGAGACAAAATTTAAACCTGGCACCTTTCGTATGTAAGTCAGAAGCACTGTCACTTGAGGTAACATGCTCACTCCATTGTTCTGTTTTTTCATTCTCTCTTATATACAAGCATCTTCCCTAGCACCTTGTTTTTAATTATCACATTTTTAATGTGTAAATTTAAAAGTTATTGCTGGTGAATAAAATGAAATTTTAGTTGAAACTGAATTGTGATTCCATAAATGTTTGTGATATGTTGAACACCTTTTAAGTAACAATTTTGTATGCTAATCACCAGGCCAGCTGGAGACAGAAGGGGAACAAACTCTTCACAAGAGATTATATATCTCAGACAGTGGATGTGATATACGAGTATGCTCTGGTAGAACATTGCAGTTACGTGACACTGGGAAACGTTCGCATTAACTGCTTGGTCTAATGTATTACAAGGTCATGAATAGCACATGGCAACATAAAAACATATGCCTTTCACTACTGCTTGGGCTTTATCTTGTTTATGAACTCTCATATGAGTTCTGAAAATGGGACATGCTACAAAAGAATCCAGTGAAAATCAGAATAACAGCATCTTAAAAATTTGTAATATGCTGAACTGTATCACAGCATCACTAGTAACCCTGCTCCAGGCCGTGCTGTAGCTCAAGTGGTTAGTTGCTGGCTTCCAACTGCGGCGGCCCGGGTTCGATCCCATGTCTGGTCAAGTGGGATTTGTGGTGGACAAAGTGGCGCTGGGGCAGGTTTTCTCCGAGTACTTCGGTTTCCCCTGCCAATCTTCGTTCCACCAATTGCTCCACAATCACCCTCACCTATCATCTGGGGCTGGTACAATAGGCCAGAAGTGGCCGCAGTACAAGGGACTTAGTCCCACCCCACTAGCAATAAAAAAAACCCTTCTTCACATTTCAGGAGATGGCACAGTTATCCAGAAGAATGTTTTCATGTTTAAAGAATTTTGTCTTCTGGGATGTGATACTGTGTACTGTGACAGTCAGGTACCAACATTTCAGAGGAATGTCATCCGAGGACACAGCATTTTTTGTAGTCACTGTTGTGAGAATATCAAATCTCATATTTTATGTTCATTTTCCCCTGTTTTAATAAGATTTTTTATTTCACTACTTAATCTCCATTATTCTCATGAGAAGGGGCATGCAGTAGCATTGTTGGTTGAGGCACTGTGCTACAAGCCAGAAGGTCACACGTTTGATTCCTGATGAGCTCATTGGATTTTTTTAATTGACGTAATCATTCCAGCTGTGCTATGGCCTTGGGGTTGACTCGGCCTCTGATAGAAGTGAGTAGCAGGATTCTTCCTGGAAGTAAAAGGCAGCCTGCACATAAGGCTGACAACCTCACGGCCATCTGTGAGCCGATTATCTAGAAAATATGGGAGTCTCGACCTCTCACACCATTATGGGCCTCCATGGCCTGTTACAAGGATATCTTTACCTTTTTATTCTCATGAGAATCTGCATTTAAGAACTTATTGCCGACATGTCACAAAGATATATTTAAGAACTTATTATTTAACACATTTTTTTTTATCTATTTTAATGATTATGAACTGTACATATATATTTATATTTGTGTTGTACTATATTAATTATGTGACTGGTTCTATATCTATGTATATGGATTTATGGAATATACAATAAATGAATGAATGAATTGTCCACAATTTTCACAAGTTTGTTTTTATTTTTAGTTCTCCTCCCTCTCCTGAGAATATTCTCAAGATGAAACTGCCCGTTATAAGTGGATATTTCTGCATCTTAAAGATGCACTTCTTTGTTTTCATTTTCAGCGAGAGTAGGTAATGGGGAAATTGATAATCATAATTTGATCTTCATAGCACTTGATCTTTATATTTGGGAGATTCTGAGTTTGAGTCTTGTCTGAGAGAGTAACCATAATGGATCAGACATTTTCATGATTTTCCTCAAGGCAAATACTTTGATGTACATTTATTCTTTTTTTTTTTAGTGCACACTTAGGTGAAAGAATTAGCTGCTCCTCCTGTGAAGTCAGGCTGACAAAATTTACTTCACAGTAGCACCATGTGGAAAACTCTCTGTACCTTGACATAGGCTACTACTGCTTCTTTCTGTGTTCTTGGAATTCATTATTCATTAGCTTCCTGTTCAGTGCTGTTTAACCTAAGCACTCAAGAAAATCTTGTTAAATAAAGTAGGAATGCATTATGAATTACTGCTCCATTTAGGTTTATGTAACGACACTGTTAGTGTTGCAGACTACATAGCGTCAGTTGGTTGGTGAGAAATTAATTGGAAAGGACTTGCAAAAAAGTGGGGCCTAATCAAGGCACTATCTAGTTTGCCTGTAGGGACTGAATAAAACCATGATATTCCCAGCAGAAATTTAAGCCAAGCACCCCCTGAATGGAAATCGGATGTGTTACCGCCTGAGCCATTTTGCTTGGTTAATCCGTTACTTACAGAAGAGTAACTGAGCAAGTTGACTGTCCAAACTGAGACTTTTCATGGTTTTCTAAGGCCTCTCCAGGCAGATGTTGGGATAGTAGCCCTAATTAGTCTTATGACTACTTCCTTCCATATATTATTTTATTAATCATTTACTGGTTGTCTTGCATTTCAGTGCTGTACTTGCCTTTTCTTAGTAGATCCACTTTATGAAGTGTATGTGTTTGAAAATTCTGAATGGCTTTTGTCAGCTTGTGTAACCCTGTTTTCTTTCTTGGTACTGAATGAAGTTTTCTTGGATCTTTTGATTGCAGCAAGCAGGATCAGTACAACTATTTGCAGACTATGAGCGTTCACTGGGTAACTACCTTGTGGATGTAGATGGGAATGTTCTGCTCGATGTATACACACAAATATCTTCCATGCCTTTGGGATACAACCATCCGGACCTGCTACAGTTGCTTAATGATCCATATAATGTGGTGAGTTGGGTCTGAATGAAATTACGGTACTTCAAAGAAATTGTACTGAACGGTAAAGGTAGTTAACACAGAAAAAATTACACAAAGGAGAGTCAGTAAATAGGTCAAAATGGAAGTAAAAGAGCTGTGATGCATCTAAGAGGTTTTCTATGGATATCACTTGGTAGCAGCATAGTCCAGCTTCATGACAGTCTAGGTATCAGATGGGCATGCACATGTTCAGAGGCTGGTTTCAGTAGTCAAAATGGCCACCATGCTTGAGGAATGTTCTACTGAAGAGCAGCGTTCTGTTGTGTGTTTCTATGGGCAGAAGGACTCAATGCAAAGGATATTCATAAAGAAATGTTTCCTGTTTACAGTGGGAAGTGTTTGTTGCATAAAGTAGTTCACAGTTGTGTTGAGAAATTCTCTCAAGGTTGTTCAAAAGTCGCAGATGATACTTGACCACGTGTGGACGTGGCTGACACAACAATGGAAAGAATTCTGTGTTGTGGGTTTCGATGCGCTGGTAAAGTGATGGGATAAGTGTATCAAAGTTGGTGGAAGATATGTCGAGAAATATATGTTTTGTCCATGTTCGAATATGGCATGTTTTACATTTTATATCCATTTGGGTCCTATTTGGTGACCCTCCCTCATAATTATGAAAAAAGTAAGTTTTATATAGTCTTCTTGGCCAATCTCCTCTGCGAATGTCTGTGTTGACGTGGCTGACTGCCTGAGGAGACTTCATTGCATACAGTAATTGTGAATGCTTCAAATCGTTTAAGTTAATAGGTCGTTGGCTGATTGATTGATTTTTGAGTTATTCAGTGATCAAAACGTTGAGTTGGTGGTAACACTCCTTCATGTTTGATTTGGCCCAGAGATGAACTGTGTCTATAGAGAATTTTTATAGTTCTCATCAATTTTTCCAATCAGGTTTTAGGATAGTGTTTTGGATACAGTCTCAGGCTGTATGATGAGATATAGATGAGTTGAGTGACGTCTGTTCATTACATATTGACGCTGATCATTCTGAGCCCTTATTATTTGGATGATTATAGATGAACCTGAAATTTATTTCTAATTAATTCTCGGCAATTTAAATTTCAAAAGTCTTATGTTTCGATATTACTGGAAATGTATCGTGATCTATAATATCGTATTTCATCGTCTGGGACGTGCAATACGGTGTTTACGTTGAAAATTTCTAGATTCTGGCAGAAACAAGAAGTCCGGAGTTATAACATTTACGATCAGTCATAAATTTAGCTCGGGTACAGGGAACCGGACGCGCCTAAAAGGGCAGGTCAGAGCTTGTTACAATTGCCTGTGAATGAGGGCCAGTATGATTGGGTTGCCTCGTTCAAGCTTCCCACGGAAGATGGGATGAAATGTATATGTCAACACCATCTTTCGAATTCCCGGCGTGGGGGTGCAAGCCATTCCACAAAGGGGGAGACTTTCACAATATTCCGAACTAAACGGACGTGACCCTTGCACGCTCCGGGACATAGCTTGCCGATAGTTGAACGCTGTAACTTAAAGCTAAGAATACATTAATTTAACAGTGTGGTGAATTAGCAGGTGAATAAACGTCAATTGGCTCAACTCTCAGAAAAACGCTTTCTTCGGCATCGCTACCCTGAGACCCATGCAAACCGATCCAGCTAGTTTCCCATACCTATACCGATCTTCCTTAGTTTGATCTGTGAGGACAACTTCCAGTAGCAATCATACACTGTCCTAAGGTAGAAACAGGTGTAGCAGGGATAGCACCATTCCGACTGCGCTGATACAAGCAAAGGCGGGTTGGAAAAGAGCGGTGTTAATATGCACATACGTACATGCAGTTGCTCTCAGAGCAGAAGATTTCATAGGTTAAGTGGAACATGAAGCCGAAATACTAATTTTTAGTTCAGAATTTACACCACTTTGTACAAATTCATAATATAGTTATGAAATTATTATGAAATAATAAATGAAAACAATTGTGAAAATTTAATGGTACAAAAATATTTTTAGAAAGTGGCTTGTACTAATTATTTTTAAGTTGGATATTTAATGGCTGTGTCAGTATTGAGCGTATATAGCATTAATGATTGGCTGATTAATGAATATGAAGCTGTTTGTTGAATGAAAACTGGCACAGGAAACCAATATACTTTGATAGAACCCCACCTCAGTGTCACTTTGTTCACCACAAATCCCACATGACCTGACATGATATCAAACCTGAGCTGCTGTGGTCAGAAGCTGGTGGTATGTCCCTATGTTAATAATAAACAATAGCAGACAGATGGAAATACATTTAGTTAATGAGACAAAGACATCAGGTTCAACAATTTTGTGAATTCTGGTATGTAATTGCAAACTGCTGGCATCAAACACAAGTCCAAATGGTGGTTCTTCTCCTTAGAACAGCCATGTCAAACATGCGGCGCCCATAGCCACAGAGTGCGGCCCCTCAACTTTTAGAGCTAATTGATATTAAAATCAATATTAAAATTTTAGTAGGAATATTTTTTGTAAAGACAATTTTCCAACAGACCAGAAGACAAGAAGTCTCATGCAGACATAAATTAGCAGGCTGCAGGAAATTCAATGTTTTGCTATTTCTAACATAATTTCTTGTGTACTCTCTCTTTTTACATATTGAAAAGCTGTTTGATATTTGTAAAAAATGGCATTCTCTTGCTTTTTAAAACTGTAAGATATGTGACTTAGGTAATTATATTGAAATTATTCCTAAGTAATAAATAGAATTAAATTTCCTTGTATCAAAATCTAATGTATATTTCTATTTTGAAGTGCGGCCCTGGACTATTATTTATAGGGCTGAGGTGGCCCTCTGCACAAGTTGAGTTTGACATGCCTGCCTTAGAATATACATCATTAAGAAGACAGGTTCACATAGGCACGTAGGACTACATAAGGACTGAAGCAGGAGACCACTTTTGTGAGATTTAGATACTCTTTGATGCTCATCAGTTTCCTGAAACAAAATTCAGAAACTTTGTAAATTATTAGTAAAAAAAAATCTTACTATTCTCTCATACAATATTGGCCCACTCAGAATTGGTTCATGGTGTACTAGGAGGGTACAGTTGACATTTTGCCCAGCCCTGATATACATGGTCGATCTACAAATTTAGAATTGTCTCACGTGAATAGAGGAATGTTAAATCTGCATGCTGTCAGCAGCTGATTGGGTGAGCATGATAAGTAGAGTGCTGAAGTTTTTCTATCTACAGTTCAGCTACTTCCAGCTCCATGGAGCAGAGGCCTTGCTGAGTACCTAATAGTCACTCATCTAGGCAAGAAATTCAATCTCAATTGTAGAACACAAAGATTCATTACCATATTTACAAGAGACTTCCAGTGAATCCTACTGTGACCCAAATCCAGTCCATCCTCTACTTATTTTTACAAGAACCATATTAATATTATCCCTCCCTACATGCCCAGTTCTCTCAAATTATTAGTTCCATTCAGATTTTCTGATTAAAAGGTTGTATGCATTTTCTCATCTCTTCCTTTAGAAAACAATAGTGAATCGTCCAGCTTTGGGTGTGTTTCCGGGTGCTGACTGGCCTAAGAAACTGAAGAATATTCTGCTGCAGGTCAGTTGCTTGAAATATGTGAATTGAATTAGAGGGCTGTCCATGCAGTGACTGTAGATGGCTCTGACAGTGCATAGTAAAGTATTCTGTAGCATCATTATACGTGGGGAAGTCATAAAATTTTAATTATTACCCAGAAGAAACAGAGACACAGGTGCAAGAAACTGTATGTGAGTTAGTCCCTCTCTACATAAGCCCCCTGCAAGGCCACACATTTTCTCCAACGATGCATTAGCTGCTGGATACCTTGATCATAGAAGGTCTCATTTTGAATGGTTAGGAAGTCCTCCACTGCAGAAATGACGTCATCGTCATCTTGGAATTGATTACCACCAAGTGACTTCTTAGCTGTGGAAAGAGGAAGAAGTCACTCGGTAAATTCTCACCCACAAACGATTGAGGACTCTGAGATAATAATCAGAATTCACTGTTTGACCTTCTGGCAGAAATTCCTTGTGAATGATTCCTTTGGAATCAAAGAAAATGGTTAGCAGTGTCTTTACTCGACTCTTTTGCATGCACACTTTCTATGGTTTCGGCTTCTTTGGGCTCAACCACGCTGCACTCTGCCACTTTTTGATAGGCTCATATTGAAAACACTATGTCTCGTCACCAGTAACAATCGATTTTGTAAAATTTGTATCACTATGGACCAACCGTAACATGTCTTTGCAGCGTTCCACTGTTGTACGATTTTCATCGCCTGACAGTGAGTGCAGTACAAACTGCGCACAGACTGTCCATTTGCCCAAATCCTCGGTCAAAAGTTGATGCACAGTATTTTTTGTTATTCCCAAAAGCTCCTCGATGAGTCTTGCAGAAACACATCTATCTCATGCCGTCATGAAATACAGCATACCATTGAAAAATGTTCAAGCAACTCAAACAATCACACACCGTACACACTTTTCATCATTTTGTATGCTTCTCTGGCTGTTTTGCCTAACTTCAAACAAAATTTGATGTTGGCTCTCTGTTCAACCACAATTTTCCGACCAGCATCAGAACAGTACTGTTACATTCAAGGTCAGAACACGTGATGTAGCGATGCTTGCACTTTGAGATTATAGACAGCCACAGCTGAAACTTCAAGAATCTTAATGCCACAACTCACCAACAGATGGCATTGCAGGGCAAAATAAAAAAAAGAAAAAAAAAAGAATCCTAACAGATCCTGGACACACCGTGTATATACACTGCGTAGCTTCTGCATTAATTTGTACTCATGTACAGTGTGTAGTCTTGTAGTCTGTGGTAGTGTGAAATAAAGTATTGTGATTTGTGTAAAAGTCTGATAGCTGCAGAATTTATGTGGCAGATTTGTCCTTGTATCTCAGCACCATTACATGAAGGCTGACAGGATCATTGAAGATAAAGTTCCCACTTTCTTACCCTAAGTGGTAGACAGAAGTTAGTTGTGAGCTTCATGATATGGCCACTCTTTTGTCCAGGGAGTTAGACCCCAACAACTGATTGGAGAAGGGACTGGGTTAACCTAAAAACTAGAAAACGTATGATGACTGTAACAGATGTCCTGAAGATGCTGTCTTCTGGGATGTGATGCTGTGTAGTCAGGGGTCAGTGACCTTTGTAATCACAACTGTGAGAATCTTCCATTGATCTGCAGTTATCCAGCTGGTCACTTTACTTATTGAGCTATCTAAGCTCCATGAGCGGTCACCCATTCAAATACTGCCCATGTCCAGTGTTGCTAAATTTAGGAGAAAACTAAAGTCTTCATACAGAATGATATTTGTACCAAATTTTTAGTAACTTTGGATAGAGCTACACCATTTTTTTTAGTTGATGCAGCAACAAAAAATGACCTAAGACATAGATGCTAACATTACAGTTTGACTGTAAGTTTGAAGTAAGAGGTTAATGATGGACATTCAGACAGTTATGTGTGTATGCCTTTCCTTATGTATTGTCTTCCATCTTGTGTCCTCTTATATCATTATGAAACTAATACATTATTTCCCTGCTAACAGGTTGCCCCTCCTGAGTTGAACCATGTGACGACAATGATGTGTGGTTCCTGCTCTAATGAAAATGCCTACAAAAGTATATTCATTTGGTATCAACAGAAACAGCGAGGTAGCTCCACTGACTTCTCACGGGAGGAGATTGAGTCATGCGTGGTGAATCAGCCCCCTGGCTCCCCATCGCTATCACTCATGTCATTCTATGGTAACTGCTAGCACATAATTCTGTTAGGGCACATAATTTCATGGCAGTGGATCTCAGAAGTTGGTTTTGTGTTTGTCATCTGCAGTTTCCATCTAGCCAGAAGACTCCCAACATTCACTGTTGTGGAGAATCATCCTGTACCACATTTCATAAACAGAAAGCCACTGATATAAGAAGAACTGAAGGTGGACACAGGGTCATTCTCTGAAATATCATATATTTTTATCCAGACACTTAACAGAGTACAAAGAACATTTTTTCAATACAATACTGAACCATATTCACACAGACATACAGAATCAACCACTGTTAATGAAATCTGTAATTTGGACAACTTAATATAGTTCACATCCTCATATTCTTGGCCACTATGATCCATTTTTAGCCTGCTTTCCTTATTTTGAAAAAAATAAAAGGTGGCTTATGAGATCACCTTGCTGTTTGTGTATCTGTGTGTCTGCCTCTAACTCCTGAAAGCTGGTATGGTGGAGCCAGAATAGTGCAGTCAGAGAAGCACAATGGAGATGGCCATTGCTAGGCAGTGGCTTGGTAATTAGGTGTTCCAACTCTCGCATTTCTGTACCCTGCAGCTGAGTGCTAACTATGGTTCCAAGCAGAGAGTTGTCCTCTGCGTGTAACTTCAGGTTGAACGACAAAGAACACGCCACCTGTAACAAGTAGATTCTAAAGGATTCTGATTATGGTGTATAACATTCAGAATCACTGGGTTTTTGGACTATATCCATCATATTCATAATTGGTTTCTGGTTTCTAGATTGCCGGACAGTCGGCAAAGTCGATAAACCCAAAGCCACCTGTAACAGTCCCTCTGTTGGCAGCCCATTTCCCCTGTATATATGTGTGTACATCCCCCTATTTTTGCTAAGCAACACCTTAGTAAACACATTCCCATGGCAATGAATACATACTCAACAGTAGAAGAGCTACTGGATGCATCGTTTTCTGCGAGGTCCATGTTGTTTAAAAAGAAAATAGGCTATTATTTCTTCCCAGAACTTCTTGTTATAGTATGCTGGTGTCTTCTTAGGTTTCAAAATTATTATTTTCCATGTGCTTTGTGCACTAAACCTGAATACGAATTTTTTCCTCTTATTCTGTGGTCTAGTGGTCAGAGTTCCTGGCTACAGATCCAGAGGTCCCAGGTTCGATTCCCGGCGCTGCCACATATTCTGAGAATTAGTGGGTCTGGAATGGGGTTCACTCAGCCTCATGAGGATAACTGGGGAGCTGTTTGAATGGAAAAGTAGCGGCTCTGGTCTAGAAAACCAAGATTCATGGCTGTGGGGATCCGTTGCGCTGACCACCCAACATCCTCTGTCCACTAAAGTTGGTGCTAACTTCACCAACAAGCAGCGGTTGCTTGGTCAGTATAGTTTTCTTGCAGACTAAGGGCCGTGGAGTTATTGAACTACAGGTTCAGGCCATCATGACCTCTGTTCTGTAACTGGAACAAGGGCTATAGAGGCATGTGTGTATGGTCATCGTCATATAATATGCTCTGGTCCTCATTTCTTTTTCCTATCGGAAAGTTCCTGGACTAGATCAGAAAAGAAATGCTAGCTTAACTTACTCAATTTTGGCTGCAGTCTCTTTCAAAATAGTTTCCTTAGGAATGTATAGAGCGACCACATTTTTCTTTTTCGTGCTTCAAAAGTACTGTGGAAGTCATTTTCCTTAATTCCATCGAGTACAGCTTGTGATTCCCTTTTGATGTCCAACACTGCTTGAAAATGTTATCCCTTCAGTTTCATTTTCAATTTGGGAAACAAAGCGAAATCACAGGGGGCTAAGTCCAGTGAGTATTGTAACATGTTTCGTTACTGAATACGCCATAGAGATTGTTAATTGGTACAATCTACAAGTAACGGCTACAGTTATTTATCAAACAGTTGTGGGGTTTCACACTTTATAACCCTAATCGCATTAATCTGTTACCACTGTTGCGGGGTTTCACGATTTATAACCCTATGCGCAAATCAGTTCACTCTGTGTTCAGTAGTCTACATGTTTACAGTAGGGGAGCTAGGTATCACTGTATCACACACTCCCAACTACACAATCGCACACACGTCCGGTTCTTCTTTCCGCGACGGCTACTATACTCCAACTGTAGTCGGCTGACTGGAGAACTGTTGATAACACACTCGCTCGTCTACTACTTGACTCTGTGGTAGCCACATTCCAACTTGACTCGGCGACTGTTATGTTACACCTCAACTCGGCGACTGTTACGTTACAACTGACTCGCAGCTGCTGTGCAGTTCCCTTATATAGCCGCAGTGCTTGCCTGTTACGTCACGGCTGTTGACTCGCGTTACATAGCTACCAGGTTGTGGGGGCTCGGATAACTTCGGCTCCGCTCGGCTCACTTCGGCTCTGCTCGTGACATCACCGCGGGGAGAGTGGCGGGGTGATGACTCACCTATTACGCGAGCGCTACGTTACCGCCACGTGCCGCTGGGGAGGTAGGGGTCCTTCGTTGCGCAACATGTCANCCATGTTGTTGTTTGTCACAAACTCTGTGCTTTTCAGGGAAGTGTGGGTGGGCATGTTGTCATGATGAAGGAGCCAGTTGTGATTGCACCAAAGTTCGGTCTTTTTCATCTCACATTTTCTCTCAAGCATCTCAAAATGTCACAGTAAAAGTCGGAGGTGACTGTAGTGTTAGGAGGAACAAATTCACTATGAACAGTTGCCTTCATGTCGAAAAAACAATGAGCATGCTCTTTGTTGAACTCTGGACCTGCCGTACCTTTTTAGCTCTTAGTGGCTGTAGGCTCTACCACTATGACGATTGTTTTGTTTCTGGATCATAACCATAAATCCAACTTTTGTCACCCATTATGATCCTAGAGATAAAAGTTGGGTCCTCGTTAATCTTTTCTCATAGCTCAAGACAATTGTTTACATGCCACTGCTTTTGATCATTTGTCAAGAGTCGGGGAACAAACTTTGCAGCAATGCGGTGCATGTTCACATTTTCTGTTAGGATCTCCTGCCAAACTCCATAACTGTTCCCAGTGGCATCTGTGAACCATGGATTGTTCGGGGATGGTCCTCATGGATGAGTTCTCGAATTTTTTCAACATTTTCTGTTGTTTTGCTGGTACTTGGTCACTCTGAACATTTGTCATCTTCAACTGGCATTCGACTGGACTTGAAACATGAATGCCATTAAAAAGCAGCTGTCCAGCTTAAAGAATGTTCTTCAAAAGCCTCACAAAGCATTTCAAGGGTTTCAGTAGCAGATTCACCAAGCTTCACACAAAACTTGATGCAGACATGTTGCTTGATTTTGCCATCCATCACAGACAAAATGAAAGCACTCATGTAAAAACCAAATGTGTTCACAGCATGGTGTCACATGGCAGACTGATGCAATAGGCTTGTGGGAGTGTGACATTGGCCTCCCCTCTCATCTTCTTTCACCGAGGCAGTTATGTTAACAGTCTTGGAAGTTTCTGATAGCACCTCATAACTTATTTAACATGATGTCATCGAAATTCTTACAATTTTGGAGTTTTCAGTCATAGCAGATGAAGTAAGGATAATTCATCTTATTCTGGTAAATCAACATATTACAAAGTGTTGTTCATCAGTTGATAGAAAGTTATTTTTTCGTACTTTTTCATGAAAGCTGCACTGAATTGTGGTTACATAAATTAAGCTGTGAATAGACTGTATGCCCCTATTTTAGTATGTCACTTATTTCAGGCATAAATATATGATCAGGGCCCCATTTTTTATTAATTGGTCGTTTTCTTCAAGTATATTGATCCACAAAAAAATCACATGTTGTCCATACATTTTCTTATAATTGACAAATATTCCATATGCACCTTATAATTGTAGAAGAGACAGGATACAATAGTTTCTAAAGACTATGTTGTTTTGGCAGATGACATTCTTCAAAAGTCTAAATCAGATTTTTCTAGGTACTCTAAGTTTACAAGTTTACATGTTATTGTTTTCTTGTTCAGGAGCATTCCATGGCCGGACCTTGGGTGCCCTGTCAACAACACATTCAAAATATATCCACAAGATCGATATTCCAGCCTTTGACTGGCCTGTTGCATCATTTCCACAATACCGCTACCCTCTGGAAGAGAACCGGCGTGAGAATGATGCTGAAGACAAGCGGTGCTTGGCTGAGGTACCCCCTCTAGTTTAACTTCTTCCTCAGAAAATTTAGTTTTGTTCTTGTATGTCACCTTCACAATCCAGTGGATCTCTCGTTAAATTCACACATTCAATCTGTCCATCTGTCCATGTGCACAAAGCTACATCAGAACTGGTAGATTCTAAAGGGTTCTGATGATAGTATATAATAATACTCAGAATTACTGGGTTTTCAGACCTTATACATCATCCGGTATTCTGAAAACTAGAACATTCAGTGTTTCGGAAACTGGCTCTGTTTCTGTTCTCAGATGAAGGGAAGAGAGATTAGCTCTTTCTAAGGCACCCAACACAGTAGGTGTCCCCCCCTCACTTGAGGACAGAAACAGATCAAGTTTCCGAAACATTGCGTTTTTTAGTTTTTAGAATACCAGACAATGGACAAAGTCCAAAAACCCAGTAATTCTGATTACATGATAATCACTGGGCAGTTTTTTAAAAATTTGATATTGGAGTATTTACAAAGAATTGTCATACCATCTCAGTTTTCATTTAGATCAGACAAACTTAATAACCATTTTCAGTACACAGCTACATATCTGTTTGTGTGTGTATTTTACTAAATATTTATCAGAGAGAATAATATTCTGAAGACAGTTTATGTCCAGTGGGTTTTTTCCATAAAACAAAAGGATGACTATATGCACGTATTTTGGAATTTGCACACTCAACAGACAAGTGAACACAGTTAAGAAAAAACAAAAGTTTTAATGAATTTATATTGTGTACAAATGAGATTGGTTTCATTTTCTTAGTGTAGTGCTCTGTTACAGTATGATTTTGAACTACACATTAAACATCTCATACATATTTAATACAAAGAACACTGAAAGCTTAATACCAGTTGTTTATTCATTCATTAGGCACGCATAGTTTTGACTTCTTGCCAATTAAGTGTCATAATAACATAACAGCAAATATTTGCACATGAATTTAATGTCTGTTTAATATAAGGGAAGAATTCATTGTAGTCTTAGTTATGTAACATATAATCCCTTCTGGCCAGGTGCACACTGTGAATTTTTACTATTTTGGGGGGGGGCCTTTGTTGTTTTCACCTGCATCTCCCAACTTTCATTAATTTGTAAGATGAATTTTTGCTAGACTCTGCTTTGGTATGAAGACTGGATTCAGTTCTCTTGTGGGCACTTACTTCAGTATAAGCCACATATTCCAGTTTCTGCTTCCTGATGCTAGGTTGCTATGTAATTAAGGATTAAATCTGTTTAATAATAATTGTAGTCTGTTGTTTTCTTTGTGTAGTGAAGTGAAGGCTGCTTCTGTACAGCGGACAATTGCTTAGAGCCAATATTTCACTGCGTGTTACGTTTCCATCAGAGTAACAGTCTGTTTTTAAAGTCAGGCTCTGAAATGAACTAACTCTTTCAGGTGGAAGATCTGTTTGCCCAGTTCAGCAAGAAAGGCAAGCCAGTTGCTGGAATTGTTGTGGAGCCCATCCAGGCTGAAGGGGGCGACAACGAAGCATCACCACATTTCTTCCAGGAGCTTCAGCGCATTGCTAAGCAGGTACAGCTTTAGTCCTGAAACATGGCTGTAAATGGTAGCACTTTGTAGGAGGGAGTGGATGGAAACAGTATTGATAGGCATCAAAAATTGACACAGAGCTTAACACTGTTTACTCACATAATTTGTGCACCCCTGCTTTTAAACATTAAATTTTTAAATGAAAATCAAATACTATATGTTAACTTGTGCATCCTCAGGTTGCGGGTGGAGGAAATGTTCTTTGAATGTGGAGAGTAGCTGCATATACACTGAAAAAGCAGTTGCTGATATCCACCATGTTGCAAAGTGTTGCATAGGGGTTTGGGCTTCATTTGATTCTTTGGAATGATTTTAGCAATGAAAAATGGACTTTATATTTGGAGTATGGAACGTAAGAAGTCTCTGTCTTAGAGAAAAAGGGTGGGAGGTTGTGGAATAAATTCATTAGACTCTGAATAAGAACCACTGGTGAGCTCTTGTGAACACAGCAATGAACTGTCTGGGAATTTATTGAGTGGCTGAGCAGCTGTTAGCTTATCAAGAAGGACCCAGCTTTGTAGCATTTTTTAGCCTCATCCCTTCAGGTTTTTTGACTAAAATTATGTACGCATTTCTTCTCTGCCATATGCTGCATGGTCCACCCATCTTGTTTTCATTGACAAAGTATACAAATCGTGAAGCTTATTATTATGTAAGACTACTTTTCTCTGTGCTCCCATTACTTTCCCTGCCTTCAGTCCAGCTGCAGTATTAACCTCAGAACTCTGTCCCCAAACACCCTCAATCTGTGTTGGATTGGAGGGATATTTTGCGTTGCTGGTGACTCGACTGTATAATGTCAAATGATGAGATGAGTGATGAATTGGAAAATATTTTGGAAGACATGACCATGGCCAAATCAGGTACTATTCATGCTATTTATCAAGAGGGACTGAGGAAAAACATAAACAAAAATTTCTCTTGGGAAGCTGTTGTCCTGGTTAATATTCGAACCAAACGTCTCCTGAATAAAAGCCTGGATCATTACCAGTAGACTAACCTGCTTGGTCTTTATTTCTTCTCTTTCCTTGGAATGAGGGACCAAGTTTCACACTCACTGAAAACAACTACATAAGTTACATAACAATGAATAAGATGAGAAGATGATGGCAAGTAGGCAAGCTGTGTGAAGGAGAGAGTCATGACCTATTTCAAGACATTTGCCTAACTACACTCACCTGCTTGGTTTATTAAGATGGGTCTCCTTTTCTGGTCTAAATTTGTTCTCTGTTTGAACTTTGAATCTTGTTCCTTTTCAGTTAAACTCTTCAGGTCTCTTGTTATTTACACTTTGCGGACTGGCGATTTAAATATTTAAATTACCCTGGGGACCGGCATTTTTATATCTACTACCCTAACTTGTGCACTGTTCACTTTAAAAATTAATAAAAAATCTCCTAATTAATTTTATGAACTAAAATTTTTGGAGAACACTTACCAATGCTCCTAGAAGTGCTTGAGAGTGTGATATTTCTGGAAACATTCCCCTTTGTGAAGTGGCATTACGCACTTGCAAATGTAGACAGTCATATTCCTTTTTTTGTGAACTGTGCAAACACGGCATTGCCTAGAAGGATGTTTCCCCTTGGAATGTTCACTCTTCACAATTTTCACGAGGGTATGTTTCCGCATATCACCCGAGAGTCGCCCAGGGGTGTCCACATGAGGCCTGTGTGGGGTGGGAGTAGACGGGCCCAGTCGTACTAAGACTGTGTCTGCCGCCGGTTCTGCCGCCACCATGTGGTCTTTAGCCCAGGCTTTTGCCACATTCAGCAGAAATGCCTTGTATTTCAAT